TGCCAAAAAAGGGTGAGCTTTTTTCGGCGCGTTAGGACAGACATCAGCCATGTTGTAAGCTCGCACACGTCGATCTAAGTACAGAATATTAGGAAACCTAGAGGGGATGCTCGACTTTTATAAACAGGTTCGTATGTATGCGTTTGTATGTACATGCACGTGTGTGTTTGTGTGTGTGTGTCATATTTCTGGTTGGATGCGTTATACACATGGCTGTTCCAGGTATGGTAACGTTTGTGTCAGGAATGTATGTGGTCCAGATTTAACATAACTATATATATATATATATATTTATGAACTACCTCAGAGTGTTAGAAAGTGCAATGTGTGTGGAGAACATATGTGTGTGTCAGAATTGTATTTGATCCTGATTTAACAGATGGGGATGGCCGCAACAGGTGTGGTAATGTGTGTGTGTGTGTGTCAGCATTGTATTTGATCCTGATTTAACATAGCTATATCTATTTTTATGTTCTACGTGTGAATAGTGTGTCTATGTTTATCCGTAACGGATGGGGACCTACATGGCCGCAACAGGTGTCGTATCTAATTTTATGACCATGACCTTTGACCCATATCTATTTGACCTTTGACCTAGACCTGTCAAATTTTATGGTTACATACCATACAAACTATTCTATATATGCTGAGATAGGATGAATGCAAGCGCAGTAAAGAACAACAGTTTTATTTAAGAGAGATAGGCAGACAAATCCAAAACGTGAATCATAAATGTAATCCAAGACAGGTGAAGATCAGGCAAACAGATCGGCAAACAGTCATACACAGGGAGAATCAAACTCATGGTCACGGAAAACAGGGTCGATACACAAAACGAAAAACATGAACTATGACGTGGAACTGGGAGCAGATAACCCAGCGTGAACTAACTCTAACATGGAACGTGTCTATGTCTATGACAATGACAACTATATAATCTAATCTACTCTACAAGAATCTTCCGCATTGAGTGTGGGCAGACATGCGGTATTTATGCCGGCATGAATCAGCCTCGTGATAGTAAACAGCTGAGGGCAATACAGAAACACATGACAGCACAACAATGACAGGACATGGAGGAGACATGACATAAACGTAAACAAATACACATGTTGATGCACATGTTGAAATGTCATTCTTGTCCACAACAGAAAAGCAGGTGCTCGCGCATTCGCGCTTAGAGGGTACTGGAGGACAGTTGGCAGTTCTCTGACCTATTCCTGAGGGAGTTTGGAGAACCAGAGCAGAGATACAACTTGGATGAGCTGTTGGAGGGAGTTAATCTGGTGAACAGTCGAGATCTCCCATTCCACTTGCATTATGAGCGAGTGAACCACCAAGTTGATGTTAACACAGACAACCAAGCTCTGTGCACACCCAAGCCTGCTACCCAAGTCACGCTCATGTCCAAGCCTGTTAACCAAGTTCCATTCATGTCCAAGCTTACTGACCCAGTCATGCTCATGTCCATGCCTGTTAACCAAGTTCCATTCATATCCAAGCCTGCTGAGCAAGTCATGTTCAAGTCCAAGCCCGTTAACCAAGTCATGTTCAAGTCCAAGCCCGTTAACCAAGTCATGTTCAAGTCCAAGCCTGATGACCAAGTTCAGCAGAGTATTAGGAAACCTAGAGGGGATGCTCGACTTTTATAAACAGGTTCGTATGTATGCGTTTGTATGTACGTGCACGTGTATGTTTGTGTGTGTGTGTCATATTTCTGGTTGGATGCGTTATACACATGGCCGTTCCAGGTATGGTAACATTTGTGTCAGGAATGTATGTGGTCCAGATTTAATATATATATATATATATATATATATATATATATATATATATATATATATATATATATATATATATATATTTATGAACTACCTCAGAGTGTTAGAAAGTGCAACATGTGTGGAGAACATATGTGTGTGTCAGAATTGTATTTGATCCTGATTTAACAGATGGGAATGACCGCAACAGGTGTGGTAATGTGTGTGTGTGTGTGTGAGTGTGTCAGCTTTGTATTTGATCCTGATTTAACATAGCTATATCTATTTTTATGTTCTACGTGTGAATAGTGTGTCTATGTTTATCCGTAACGGATGGGGACCTACATGGCCGCAACAGGTGTCGTAATGTGTGTGTCAGCATTGTATTTGATCCTGATTTAACATAGCTATATCTATTTTTATGTTCTACGTGTGAATAGTGTGTCTATGTTTATCCGTAACGGATGGGGACCTACATGGCCGCAACAGGTGTCGTAATGTGTGTGTGTCAGCATTCTATTTGATCCTGATTTAACATAGCTATATCTAATTTTATGACCATGACCTTTAACCCATATCTATTTGACCTTTGACCTAGACCTGTCAAATTTTATGGTTACATACCATACAAACTATTCTATATATATCTCAGCTAGTGCTAGCTTGAAAAGTCAGTTTAAGACAAATAGAATGAAAAATGAGAAGGAGAGAAGGCAAGTATATAAAATGGAAATGTCTAAGCAAGACAAGACAAATTATTTATAGATCACGTTGCCTACAAAAAGCAATTCAATCTGCTTTCCAAGAAAAATAAACAAATATAAAAACAATTACACAAATAGAAAAAAGAAATAGAGACAAGTAGGCACTAATAAAATAAAAAGGAAACAAGATAAATGTAAAAGTAATTTGAAATGGATCAAATAAAATGTAAAGAAAGCACAATACTGTCCTTGAGTGATAAAATTACAGGCTAAATTGTAAGTCTGATTTGACTGGAACATCTTCCATCTCAGTTTAAAAAATGTCAAATGTCTGGGCATGTTTTGGGTTGGTAGGTTTAAGAACAGTCTAAAAACTAAATGCCACTTGTCCATACTTAGTATAACTATAACTTAGTATAACTTAGTATAACTTAGTATATACCTTCAGCATAACTGACCATTTCCAAATGACCTAAGAGTTCCACTAGGGTCACAGCCGACAGGTATTTTGGCCACAATCTGAAAGCATCAGATTTTTGTTGCCCTTTGGCAGCTTGCTGACCAGAGAAAATTAAAAACTTGGGACAGACTTGGCAAGGGGAGTCCCTAGAGTAGTACTGGGGGCTAACTGCCCTAACAACCACATGTCCCCTGACACCTCCCTCCATGGTCCCTCGGGACCACTCAGCTGCCCAGATCCACAAGGCTCTGAAACCCATCTACCTTCAGCTGAGAAGAGAGCGAGTTGCGAGCGGAATAGCCTAAGCTTCAACCTTTCACAGAGCTCACAGTCAGACTCCTGTGTGACTGATGTTGCCCTGTGTGTGCTGATGTGGCATGCTCCATCCCCTAAACACTTCACACAGAAAGTGTGGCCATCTCTGGTCACGCACCAGGGAGCTCCCATAATGTACTGCTAAATGTAATATGAAGTTCCCTTTGAAAGGGAACATTTTAGATTTCCAAACACTAGTATTCTAGCACAAAATTAAATATTACAGAAATGTTTGTATGTCATTAAGAAAGAAGCATATTATGTAAGAGACCACTTTTCAGACAAAAATCACTAATCTACACCCTAGTGGGATGGCTGTGGCTCAAGTGGTAGAGCGGGTTGTCCACTAATCATCGGCAGTTAGATTCCTGGCCCACATGACTCCACATACCAAAGGGGCCTTAGGCAAGATACTCAAACGCAAGTTGCTCCCAGTAGCACCTTGCATGTCAGCTCTGATACCATTGGTGCAAGTATGTGTGTGAATGGGTGAATGAGACACAGTGTAAAGTGCTTTGGATAAAAGCGCTATATAAGTGCACCATTTTATCTTTTTCTATTTTTGTGAATTCTTGGAAGAAAAGATCAAAAGTTTAAACAACATCAAACAAAATTAAATACAATCAGTCAGAGCCATTGCACAAACATTGGGCATAACCATTACAACAATCTGGAATGTCCTGAAAAAGAATGAAACCACTGCTGTACTGAGCAACAGACACTAAATGGGTCAGCAAAGGAAAACAACAACATCTGATGACAGAAAAATTGTGAGAGCTGTGAATAAAACCCCAAAAACAACAGTCAGTGACATCACCAACAATATCCACAGGTCAGCAGTGACAATCCAGTCAGTATCACTGGTCAGTATCACAATCCAAAGTTCGAATAAGACTTTGAGACAGAAATATTAAGATGCAAACCACTCATCAGCTGTAAGAATCAGAAGGCCAGATTGGAATTCGTAAAGAAATATGGAGATCAGCCACAAAAGTCCTGGAACCAAAGTGATGGAAAGGTAAAAGGGTGCAGAAAGAAAGGATCTGCCTGCTCATGATCTAAAACACAGAAGCTCATCAGTCAAAGCATTGTAGAGGTAGTGTCATGGCTTGGGCTTGCATGACTCCTTCAGGAAACGGCTCACTAATATTTATTGTTGATGTAATGCACGGTGGTAGCAACAGAATTAATTCTATTTAAGTTTACAGCAACATTCTGTCTGCCAGTTTATAAAGAAATACATCCATATTAATCCAGAAGAACTTCATCATGCAGCAAGAGAATGATCAAAAACACAATCACTAGCGCTTAACTCAACTGAGCAGCATTTCACCTCCTGAAGAGGAGACTGAAGGACGAAACCCATTGAAACATACTCCAAGAGGCTGCGGTAAAAGCTTGAGAAAGCACCACAAAAAATACAAAAACTAACATGTTTCTTGTCATGAATGAAATGGTTTTTTTGTTTTTTTTGTTTGTTTGTTTGTTTTCTCTCCACTGTTCTTACAGAGTGAGATTTAAACAGATTGCATGATCAACACACACACAAAAACTACGCATGTCTGTGTAGTAAAACAATAATATAAAAAAGCTAAAGTTTTTGTAAAACAGTGTGGGAAAAATACATTATACATCATGACAACATATATCTTTTAAATTATATATTTAAGTCCAAAATGCCAAATTATTATTATTATTTAGAACCTGGTCAATAGCTCATGGCTTTCTCCCTGACATTTTTTTATGTGTATGTGTGCGTGCGTGTGCGTGGCTTAGTGGTTAGCATGTTCGCCTCATACCTCCAGGGTTGGGGTTCGATTTCCCACGTGGCCCTGTGTGTGCAGAGTTTGCATGTTCTGCCATTTCTAATGTGTCTGTATGAATGGGTATATGAATCACTGCGCATTGCCACTGGATCATGGTGGTCACCGGGAAGTGAGAGTGAGGTCGATGCTGCACAAGTCTTCCACACTATAATCCAATTCATGTGCAAGTCGAGTTCCAGTTTGTGTTCTCCACACAAAGGCAGATCGTCAAAATCGACGGACGAACTCCTGTGTGTGTGTGTGTGTCTCTTAAGCTCCACAATCTATGCCAATCTCTCACTCTCTCTCTCTCAGGTTACATGATTCACTGAAAGCACAAAGAAACAGACCTAAGTAAGGCTACTTACGCAGTAATCAGACACAGATGAGAATCAGCATGCTTTACCTGCCAGTTCAACCCGCATCCTCTCTGTCCATAGCTGAATCTCGACCACACCCCCACTGCCACATATTATTATTATTATTATTATTATTATTATTATTATTATTATTATTATTATTATTATTATTATTATTATATTTGGTTGTAGTTGCTGTAAAGTTCGGCATAAAAATGCCTGTCATTATGCAAATGTGTTTGATTGGGAGATAATAACAACAAACAGAAGGTTAGAGAGAGTGGGACAGATTATAGCTCATTATAACTGTCAGTTTAATAAATTTAATAAAGTAAATAAACTTAATAGTACTATTACTACTACTATCAATAATAATAATAATAATAATAATAATAATAATAATAATAATAATAATAATAATAATAATAATAATAATAATAATAATAATAATAATAATAATAATACCATTTTATTTGAAGGTGTAAATCCCAGAAAGAGGTGAGCTAATGGATTGCCTCATAAAGCAGTAGGTTATTGGGGGATTTATTTTGGGTCAGATTTTAATTCCAACACAGAATGAAGACTTGGGATTTGAAACTTGCTATGGCTTGTGATGTGTAGTAATATTATTATTACTGCAGTGGCAAGATGACCATTTTTGACAACAAGTGAAAAAACATTACATGCTATAAAAATGAAATAGGAAATGCATAATTTTTTTTTCCCCTTCAACATTTTCTTCCAAATTTGGTCACCTGCCTTCAGCTAGCTCTTTCCTATCATTTGACAGTTACCAACTAGGTGAAGGCTAACATGTGCTTCCTCTGAGATATGTCCTCTGAGAGGCCAGTCAACTGCATCTTTTTGATCTGTTGCTAATACTGCATCACAGGGCAGCATAATCCACTTGGAGGAAATCATCGCCTGACCTGTTCCTCATGAATGAACTCACAATGCCCACGATTGGCTAGTGTTGCTGTGATTGACAGGGCACAGAGACTATACTTCCCTCTCACACACAGAACATGGCCAATCTCTTGACTCCTGCTAATTGATGGCAGTGGCATTATTGTGATTTCAACTTGTGATCTTCTGGTAACTGACTGAACTATTTCTTTTTGTCCCACATGGGAATACTTAAATCTAAAATACAGGTATTTCTACTTTCTGATGACATTGTTCTCCTGGCACTGTAATAAATAACCAACTGTCTATTGACATAATTTAAAACTTTTCTCAAACACTTTAGAAAGAAAATGCCAAAAACCCAATTTCACATGAAATGCAAAATATTGTTCAGTACACAGTAACAGCCAATAAAACAGGTTTCTTTTTAATTGGTTGATGAAATTACAAAGAAAACCTGAGAAATTTCTAGTAAACTGGAATTACAACCTGGTACTGTTGCAGAAACTACACCGTGATACTAGCTAAATGATATCATCATCATAAATGATTCTAATGCATTTTCTGATGAATGGGAAGGTTATATTATTCATACATTACTCTTGTTCCTCCAGCAGCAACAAATAACTTCTATCACTTGGACATGCTGAGTGAAGGATTCCTCACTATTGGAAATATTTCAAAATCAATAACTCTGGTGCTTTCTGCATTTCTATAAATGCCCACGTCTCTCATTGTGAATTCAGAGCCTCTTTGTGAAGTCTCTTTTCTAATGTCTAGGAACAAGGGCCATTAGCTGTTTAGTGACTGAAGATATTTGTTATTATCGTAGTGGAACTGAGAGAATAGCTTGGGGATACAATTTGTAAAAAGGCTTTAGATTGATGTCAGCATATATACTGAATAGGAAGAAAAGGTCACAAATAGTAAAAATGGATTTCATTTTGCCACATAATTTCTTTGTTGTGATTAGCATGAAACACACAATGCCACGATAGCATAGTTTATCTTGTGCTGTAAAAAAAAATCAAGCAGTGCCACACTGAAGAAGTCAATTAAATGTAAATATTGCCCTGCCATCTAACTCCTGATGCTTTTCCAAATATACACTGTATCAATAAGAGCAAAAAAATAAAAATCCTGAAGGAAAAAATTTGCATTTAATTACTAGCATTAACTATTTTCTTTATCTAAATCTAGGACCCTCTATGATAATTATGATAAATGCTTACACTATTCTATGTGCTTCTAATGTATCTAAAATTGTTGTAGGAGAAAAAAATGCTTACATGCATCTAGATGCAGACCTGCCAAAATTCATACATTTTGCATACAGCTCAGCATTTTAACAAGAGAGTATGCTGCTCCAAAAAATATTCCAAAAGAGAGGTTTCCTCCACCACCCCACCCCAAATAAAAAACACTGATGAGGCAGTAATCATGTAAATCTGGAATGATTGACTGCCGTTTAGGTGTTTTGAACTCTCTTATATGAACTGACCCCATGGAAGTCCCGCCCCCTTCTCCCATCTCACATTATTCATATTTTGTGCTCATCTCAACTCAATTTTCCCACTCAGTTTTCCCACATCTAAAATTAAATAGATGGAGTGTCAAATCTAACATTTTACAATGTTTACCTTTTAATGCTAATCATAATTAATTAATTTAAATAAGTAATTAAACACAGTTCTCCTCCACCGGTCAGCACAGATGTGTTTTAACAGTGTTAGCAACAGATCAACAGTGCAAATGTCAGTCGTGTGGAATAATTTAACAGTTGCTACGTGTTATGTATTACTGTTTGCTGCATTTTTTTCTCTCCTGCCACCCCCCACCCACTCCAGTGGGATTACGCATTGTTGATTTTTGGCAGGTTGGCAGGTTTGAGTTTGGCTTTGTCTAAGTTCTCCACCAACTTGAACTTGAATGCAGCCTTTCTACAATTTGCACTCCACATAAGTCAAAACAAGAAAAGAAAAAATGATCTTTTTTCTTCCTCTGAATGAATCCTAAGCAGGAGAGAAACACAAGTGAGTGTCTGGCAGTGAGTAAGTGTGCTTCGTCAGCACTCCCTTTGGCACGCGTCGCCTATAATCATCCCAACAATATGCAACAGGACTTGGCAGACATGAAGCTGTTTTGCTTATGAGAAACGATGACAAACATGATGGCGTGACCTTGTGAGATGGCTGTGGAGGAGGAGCGATGAAGCGTGATTCAATTACACTGAATAAAAGTCCTCACTTCTCCTGATTGGACCTCCTTTAATTTGTTTAATTTGTTTAATGGTTCTCAAAGTAGGGTAAGCTTAGCAGTGCCAGGGGGTCTGTGATTTTCTAATTTTGCTGCAGTTGTGGAAACACAGCATTATTAAAATGATTACAGGAAAATGTGTTTCATTTTGTAAAGTGGAAGTGGAATGTTCAGAAATAAACATAAAGCTATGTACTTTCATTAAATAACAAAAATATTAGTGTATACATAAATAAATCTGTGGATTTCTTTTAAAACTTAATCAAGGTTTCTCAAACAGGGACTCCTTTAACTCCTAAAAATGTTTGTATCACCAGTGTTTGAAACTTGAACGCAATGGACCTAATTGTGACTAATTAGTAATATTTTTTAGTGTCTTAACACTTTGTCTACTTTGTTTGAGTGCTCTTGATGGCTGAGCATTGATTTTTTTTATTTAATGGAATTTGTTTTGGCTTTATATATTTGTTTTATTTCCAAACATAAATTTGAAATGTACTGCACTGCATTGTATAATGGTAACAATTTTTTTGTTTTTCTTTTGTGCTGGATCAAGTACTTTGTACTCCTCACCTGGTTGTCACCACACATGCTTGACACCATCTGAACCAAATACATTTATCTTGGTCTCATCAGACCACAGGACATGGTTCCAGTAATCCATGTCGTTAGTCTGCTTGTCTTCAGCAAACTGTTTGCGGGCTTTCTTGTGCATCATCTTTAGAAGAGGCTTCCTTCTGGGATGACAGCAATGCAGACCACTTCTCACTCTAACATCCATCAGCTCCATGATTTCATCAAGGAGGAGTGGAATAGGACTCCAGTGGCAATCTGTGAAGCTCTGCTGAACTCCATACCCAAGAGGGTTAAGGCAATGCTTGAAAATAATATTGGCAAATGGTGGCTTTTGTTTCCAGTGGCTTAGACATTAATGGCTGTGTGTTGAGTTATTTTGAGGGGACAGCAAATTTACACTGTTATACAAACTGTACACTCAACACTAGCAAAGTGTCATTTCTTCAGTGTTGTCACATTAAAAGATACAATCAAATATTTACAAAAATATGAGGGTATACTCACTTTTGTGAGATACTGTGTGTGTGGATTCAGGTTCAGTGAACCTGTGTGTATTCAGGTTCAGTGCTATGTCCTGTAGTATTTATTAATTACATGTTATTTTTTGATTACATCATTCTTATCATTGTTATAATTTACACCACTCTGGGTAGATTAATGTCAATCTTATACTGCACTCAAGAAAGGAAGGCCACTTTTGCTTTGAACAAATTTTAAATGAATTAGATATCTACAATTATCCATCACTCCATATCAGCTCACGCTTAGAAACTACAAACCTAGTCAAGTTAGTCTAACAGTCTCTGACTTTTAACAGGAGTTAAAATTAGAGCTGTTGTTTAATGGGTTCTCATTTAATTTTGCTGCTTTCATTTACTACTTACTAATATTCTCCTCAGCTACTTTCCGCCTATGATTTATTATTTAAATT